TAACTATTTATGCAGAATTTTTGGCAGTGTTAGAAAGTGGTGAAAATTCTAAAAAGGCTATCATTATCCCTTATGGGCCTGGAAATACTACCGTGCCCCCTCAGTTCAAAACAAGGAAGATATTTGATAGAAAAAACAATTAACAGATTCACAGAAGAAATGTGAAAATTTCCGGAAACAATACTCAAAAATAATTGCTGGATGATATATATAGTAAATTGTTAAATAAATAGGACTCATTGATATAAACTTGTTTATTTTATTGCTGATAATGTTATAATTTAGCTGTAATTAAAACTAATGTTAATTTAATATAATGATGCTTACCAGAAAACAATCCTGGATGCCTGGTATTAACAAACAGGGACTCTTCGCTGGAATGCTGGTCTAGTGAAAAACAGTTTCCAGTGCTGGACTTTTTGGAAAACAATCTACAACTAAATTAAAGGTAAGCAGTAAAAAAACTAAGAATTATCCCTTCAGAGGTGTAATCTATTCAAGATGATTTGAATTTAATATTTCTCACGTTTTATAAATTTCGTGTAACTGTTTTTGTACGCCTTTTGTGACTTACTACAGTTATCTATGCTTTGATCTACATGATCTATGTAGTCTTGCTGGTTTTGAATTTTAATTCATATTTTGACAAAGCTGGTTCTTTGAGTTTTTTCTATATCTTCGCTCTTTAAGGTGGTACATAACACTACAGGGAGATAACTCATTAAAAATCAGCTGAACGTTTTAATCGCGTTTTATTATTAAGGTAATATTAAGCTTCTCAATGATCAAAATTAGTGTTTGTCAAACTACTATATACCCAATGAAATTTTTCCGATAAAGTGTGTGGTTCAAGTTTTTTGAAATTTTTATATTTTTGTCAAAGGGTCAAAGAAAATATTTTGTCAAAATTTTCTGAAAATTAAACGAGCCGAATTAATTTTAGTCATGGTGTTTGGTACCACCTTAAAAGTGAAAAGTGTTAGAACAAGGAACAAATCAAGCATTTTTTCTGGTTTGTCCATACACTTGGCAGTGATCTTTTGGTTTTGATTCGTGTTATTGGTGTACTTTACTCCTACATTTTGATTTTAGTTTCGATTTACTCTTTTAGACAATTTGGAAAGTAACCTATTGAGGGTCCAGTTATAAAAGGCGGTTCTTTATTTCTGTATTCTTCAAAAACTATATAAGCACCCAATTATTTTCAATTTATAATGTTTTGTCATTTTTATCATTTTGCTGTTTTCAATATTTTTTTTTTGGCAAATTTTTCTGTATTTTGTAAACTCCATCCAGATCTTATTACAAATTAGCGTTTCTATGTAGCAACATTCCAGCAGCGCCTGCATATGGAGTATATGTCTCTTAATTAATATATGATCCGTTCATCCTATTTCGACTCTCCAAAAGTCAAGAGTCTATCCTAAATTAAGGTAAATTATATGGCCTTCCAAATACCGTTTCGATTCCTAACATCACTGATTCAGAAGAGACATTAATTGTCCAAATCCGGATATGGTGTACTAAATTTTGCACCTTTTGTTTGCGGTATACCATCTTTTCCGCGAGTTTATTGTTTTCTGTTTGACATTAAATCAATATTTAAGATCCATTTTGTTACATCTGGTGATCATTTCATTTGGCAATCGCCAATGGCATCAGCAGGGTTTAAGAACATCCGTTGTTCGACCTGCTAGTCAGATGCGTTTTGTTAAAATAGACTTTGTCAATTCTTTTTAAAAATGTTGTTTGTGCTGTATTTAGACCCTCTTAGTTAATATGATATTCCAGAGCTTGTATTTTCTATCATGATTTCCTTGATAGAGTGTTTCTGCGCACAAGGTTTCCGATGGTTGAAATTGAATTTACATCTTCAAAAATTGTGTTGACGACATCACGAGTTGGTTGACCGAAATGGAATATTTGTTTCACAGAAGACGACGGATATGTTCCAATTGTCGTAACCACAATCCCGTCCTCTTTTCCTGGAATATAACCTAACGAATTAGACTTATTGTTGGGTTTGTACTTGCATTATCAAAACGGCCGGTGTCACATCTGGAACAGAATATGCATACCCTTTCGGAGCACCTAAGATCACCCCCGAGTTTTTGATGGGGTTTCATGTTGCTAAGTTTTTAGTTTTCTATGTTTTGTTTTGTATACTGTTGTTTGTCTTTTGATCATTTTTCGTATTTTGCCATGGCATTGTTTGTTTGTTTTTGATTAATGAATATCCCTTTGGTATGTTTCCTCCCTTTTCGTGTGTAATATTTTGTCACTTGCTACTTTATAGGGGGTAGGCAAGTTTATCAATTGTTATGTACTATTCCAGAGCACTGGAATTTATCCATATTTTTTGTTACTGTGATCTTGATTTATTGTTTTTTTGGATTGTTGATTGCCAATCTGTTCTTCTATTTTCTTTTTGTCATGTTTTTTCAGTCTTTCTTCCATTCATAGTTGTTGCTGCCCTCTTTAAATCCCAACCTGTTCAAAAGCACACTTATGTCCTGGGATACTTTTGTCATTAAATAATGAACAATAGATGCTTATTCTATCTGATAACATTGCCCAAAATTTGTATCTACCTATGTTGACCTTGAACAGGAAATTAATTTTCAATGGTATTTTCAAATCTGGTGCATCCTGAATATGTAAACTATGTATTAATACTAGTATTTCCTACAGAAAGTTACATGCATTGTTGTGTAAAGAATACTAGCTCTTGTAGTTCAAAGTATTAAATAAATTGCTTCACCGAGTGCAGCTGGATACAACCGCAGAGGTCCAACCCTGAACAATTGGGGCAAAAATGGACACAATATTTGCACTTGATACAGGTCTGAATTTGGATTGTAATTAAATATTTGACACATAATAGGTTTCTGACACAGAATAACTGTAATCAAAGAACTTAGAATTGGTTATATGATTTGAATTTATATTCAATTTTTTGCTTTTGTGCAAGACACTTTGCTGTTGCGAATTGCCCCCCCCCCCCCTCCCAAACCCCCCAAAAAAAAAATCTCCCCCCCCCCCTTTTTTTTTTTTGCTTTTGGCCAAAAAAAAAAATATTTGAAGAAATTTTCTTTTTAATTTCTGAAATCTGAAAAGAGAAAAAAAACTTGTTCCCCCCCCCCACAATTTTTTTTCACCTCCCCCTACCTGTTTTCAAAAAAAAAAATCTTTCCCTCAAGATATGGTCATTATCTCAATTCAAATTTCCAATGGAGTTTGCAACCATAATTACCCATTTAAATACATCATTAAAAGTTTTAAAATAGAAACTGACATACATAATCATGTATAAAATTAATATTCCTTAATCAGCATTTTTAATAGTAACTTCTAAAAATAAATTGTCAGCTAATCACCTCAAAACAATAATTTCTTTATACATAATTTAAAAGCAGTGTAAGGGAGGTAATCCAAACTTTACATTGTACTTAAAAGTAATTGTCCATTAACAAGGAAACCCTTGTTTTGCCCCCTAATTCCTGAACAGTTTGAGCCATTACCCCCCAAAACCAATCCTAACCATCCCAAAGTGGTATAATTTTAGAGAGATCCATACACCGTTCCGCAAGTAATTGTCTGGAAACTAGAAAAATGCTTATTTGGGCCCCTTTTTGGCCCCTAATTCCTAAACTGTTAGAACCATAACCCGCAAAATCAATCCCAACCTTCCTTTTGTGGTGATAAACCTTATGTTTAAATTTCATAGATTTCTATTTACCTATACTAAAGTTATTGTCTAGAAACCAAATGTCTTGGGACGACGCTGACGATGACAACGTGATACCAATATACGACCGCAAAATTTTTTGCGGTCGTATAAAAACAGGAAGGTGTCCTACAGGATCTGTAAAGCACTCACACATTACAACTCATCACTCTCAAACAGCTGACGAAATATGAAGTCATTCTGTTCTGAAGTACTGGAGAAATATGTTATTCAATTTTTCTTTTAACATAGTATAAGCAAATAGGCAGTAGGTGAATGACAGCTCTTTAATATTATCACACCTTACAACTCAAAACAGTCAACCTGCTCTCCAAATATGAAGTCGTTCTGTTCAGTAGTAGTTGAGTCAAGAGATGCAAAAGATACCAAAGGGACATTCAAACTCATAATTGAAAAACAAACTTAAAATGCCATGGAAAAAAAATGCATAAAGACCAAAAGACAAACTACAGTTTATAAAACTGTATATATAAATATAAATATACAACTGGTCTAAACATCAGCCCAACAATGTTAGATCTGTAAATTTGCTTTCGCAAATTTTTTGTTCTTCCCTCGCCGGGATTCGAACTCATGCTACTGAGATATTGTGATACCAAATCGCCTGCACTGTATCCGACGCGCTAGACCACACGACTACCTAGGCTTCAAATTAAAGCTTTTGGTGGCCGGGTGTTACCTTTCCTCGTCAGTTTTAATCTAGCGTCGTAATACAGTACATAATATATAAGGCATGAAGATGGAATTGTTACAGATCAGCTGAAATATCTATTGTAAAGGATCCTACAAATTAATGCAAGATGAAGCCTAGGTGGTCGTGTGGTCTAGCACGTCGGATACAGTGCAGGTGATTTGGTGTCACGATATCTCAGTAGCATGAGTTAGAATCCCGGCGAGGGAAGAACAAAAAATTTGTGAAAGCAAATTTACAGATCTAACATTGTTGGGCTGATGTTTAGACGAGTTGTATATACTGATTGTATACAGCCATGTATCACGATCACTGCTGGTGATCCGATGGATAAATCTGTTGTAGAGTTGTCACTGGTACAGACGTACTTATAAATATAAATATATATACATGTATAAATAAAAGTGTGACCAAAAATATTTGTTTGGATAACAGACGAATGAATGGACACAGTGATTGCAATAAGGCCACCGTTCCTAGAGCGGGGGATCAATAAAGCAATGTGTCCCTTCCTTGAGGGAGAGACAAATGTTCTTGTTATGGCAGTAAAATAGACAAAAATCATGCAAATATTTGTTTTATTTTATATAACATGAGCATAAATGATAATGAGATATCCTTTACAAATATAGATGTTTGGATGGAATAAGAAGTTAGTGAAATATATGTACAAATGTCCTATTTACAATATAAAAGACGAAAAACTTAAACATTTTTTTCCAATGAAACAATGCATGGTTATCTGATAAAAATTAAAGACAGGGTATTTTTTAAATAAAACACATAACACTTACACAAATTTGTAACTTTTCCATGAATTATCCCCCTAAACATTTTCGGACTTTTCCTGAATTTAAAGAATAAGTGCCTTTTTGTTCATTTTATAATTCTTAATAAATGACCTGCCATTGTTATTATGTTGGCATTAAATTTAAACAATAAAGCAATCACTTACTTAGCCACCTTCCTTCTTTCTAACAAATTTGAATGATCAAAAACTAAAAATATCTCTTCATGAGAAGTTTTTGTCATAAAAATTAAAGCAGTCATATTTCAAAGGAGTAGGGCTGGTAAGACCCCTTTTTGCCCCTAACTATAGCATTTCAAAAATTTGTTAAAAATGTAAACTTTCAGCAATTTATTTGAAAGAAGAATTCTTTTGTTACATGAATATGTGCTGTTTTTGATAATACAATGCACATGCATCAGGTACTAGCATCATTAATTTATTGAAAATTACTGAAATCTTCACAATTTTAGGATTTGTGCTTATTTTCAGATGGTTTTTGTCTAAAATGGAAGTGGCCACACCTGTGTTCAGTCATAGTATTTAAATATATGTTTATTTGATGATGATACATAACATATATAAAGGTTGAGACGGAACATGAATGCGGCCACTTCCATTTTAGACAAAAACCATCTGAAAATTGACGTATTTTGGCATATTTGATAGATTTTTCCTATTTAAGCTTGAATTTAGGAGTCTTTAATGACTAAATCAGTTCAAATCTTTTACATAAACTAATTGAATCGACTGAAGAAGACACCTAAGTGTTTAAAAAATGTCAAAAATCTTTCATCAGATGTATTTAAATAAAGATAGCCATGCATTGCATTTTTCAGCACTATAAAATGTAAGCCATTTGAACTTCCCAATACTTCAACACTCCTTATGCAATATCAAAAGTACTAGTACAAAATATGTGATTCAATGAAAAATCACTCTGGCTGGTGTGGTGTGATTCACTGTCAAACAGTGATTGCTGTTGATTTTAGGTTATTACTCTTTTATTGAGGAATCATTCTAATATTACTTTTGTGTACATATAGAATTTTACAGGATGAAAGTTCAAAGTGATTCACCTTTAATCCCTAGCAATCATAGTGGAAAATCACCAGGTAGAGTGATTTTCAAATAAATCACCTTGTGTGTACTGTATTTTCGTTATCATTCTGTTGTTCATTTTACATCTAACTATTAAAAGCAATTTCTAATCTATTTCAGTAATAAAAATAATTTTACACCTTTTTTCTATTCTTAACAGGAAAAAACTTCAAAAATTAAAATACTCTGACTTCTTGCCATCAAAATAACAAATAATTCAATTGTCTTTTTGTCTATTAAAGACATTTAGAAATTTACTAGAGATTACATATTATATTTTTTTTTATTTATTAGATCCAACTACATGTTTATAATAATATCTTTTGTCTGGTATAATTTGATTTTTCTTCTTTTTGTCTAGTATAAATTGAAATCTTATTTTTTTTCTAGTTTTAATCCTTCACCAATATTGCTCAAAATACCTTATGCTATCCCTCAGCTAATCTAACAAAATAATAAAAATGTAAAAATCATTACAAAAACTTTTTTGGTAAATAGATATAAAACAGCAATACATATACAATTATGTGGCCATAACAAACCAATTGCAAACTACAGCTCCGGCAAGTTTTGCCATTTACACAAGTCAAAGGCTTAAATATGAGCAGTGTTGTATTCTTCACTGAATTGGGACCATGTTGTCCACTCTGTGCCCACGCCCACAAGTCTAAATGATAAAGTCCACCACAGCTGCAGTGTATTTATAGTGACCTACTTTTCCGTCTAAATACATTTTGTTTTTATTTCACTTAACATAAATAGAAAGTCAACAGATATAAAAGGAGATGACAGGTATATCTGAATGAGACAGCAACCCAGCAACACAATAATCATGAGTAGTAATTTTTGTTTCAACCAAAACATTTTAAGTTTGCATTGTTTATTTTGGGAAAATAAAAGATACTTTTATTTCATCAAATTTTCATACTTGTACAGCAGAACCCATATTCCCAAAAAAAGATTCAAAATTAATTGAAATATTTATTGAAATTTATATTTATTGATGTGTTTTGTCCAAAACCTTAATAAACACTTTTAATGGCTCCAAATTTTAAATTTCTGTTAAACTTGTATTCCATTTGAGAAAGTTTCAAAAACTTTTTAATATATTAGAATTTGGCAGAACAGTCATTGAAACATGTCTTACAAATCATTAGAAGTTGCTTACTCAACAGATATCTTTTAAGTATCTTTAAATTTCAGTAAAAAAGCAGGTAAAAGCCCCCAAAAAAATGCCCCATACGCTACGGCGGAGGGCATAAAAAAAAGAAAAATTTACACCAGATATTGTTATCAGAAAAATTCTACAAGCCATTAAACAAAGATAAATTAGTCTATATAACACCAATAGATTACAAAATAATGAAGACAGTTTTAAAAATGGAAGACAACTTCATTTATTTTTTTTTAATTTACAAAACTGCACAACAGAAAAGTCACAATCCTATTACACCAAGTATAAAAATACATGATAGTTCATTAATCTGATAAAAGAACCTCTCCAAATTAAAATGGCCTTACTGTCTTATTGTCAGTAATTGATGGTACTTTAATCACAGTGTAAAACAATGGCAGAAAATCGATGAGAAAAAACGTATAACGTAATAATACTTGTCTGTCCTTCCCTCACCAGACTGAGAAAAAAATATCGAACTTATTAAATCTATTCTTGTAAAATTAATACCCCCTCCACTTTTATTGAAAAAAAATGAATCATTACCGTACAACTCGGAGGGTTGAGATCTGAAATTTAAATCAATTCAAAGGTTAAAATATGTGTTGATTTTTGGTCTGGAACTTTTTAATGATGCAAAAAGATTTTTTATATACATTTGTCATTTTACGAAATAAGTGTGAAGGACATTTGCAACTACAATAGAAGGTCTTTAAGCAACATAAAAACCTGAACCCAAAAAGCAGTAGCACTACCTACATTGTACTCCCTATTTGAGAAAACTAAAATAACTTAAAAAAAGAAATATACCGGTAAATAAATTAATCTCATATTAATGGCAAGTAATTAATCATTTATATGCAAGGGGAAAATGTGTGCTTATAGGGACACTATTTGGCCTAAAAAAAATCAAAGTACAAAATGTATTACAAAATCATGTGATTTTGTGTAAAACGTTGTATACAAATGACAAAAATCTGCTTTTACATGTACATATATTTGTAAGTGGGAAAAACTGAAATCCTACAAATAACATGAGAAAGTCCTTCATATAGACAAAAACTGTAAACTTTTTAAATTATACCTCTAATTGCTCTATATTTGGGGTCTAAAAACCACTTGAAAATAGATCGAAAAGTTTTTTTCACCAAAAGGTGTACAAGTGACTTTTTTTATGTCATATATGCATTTATTGTTACCTTTTTTTAAGTTTTTTTTACAAATTTATAAAGGTATATTAAATTGAAAAATTTAAATGGCAAAATAAAGTCCTTATAGCCCCTTTATTTTATGCATATACCATTTTACTACATAAAATAAAAAAAACAAAAGTTCTGTTGATAGAAAATGAAAGGATATGGAGTAAATGTACATATTTTAATGTACTTCTGAAGTATCAACTAGCTGGTTACTATATCTGACAATATGAGTCATATATAACATGTATAAGTTGTTTTTGTATTGCTTTCAGAGTTTTGAATGTGAGTTAAATATGAAGTTTACCCTACCATTAAATCCAACTGGTAACATGATTACCCATTAATAATATAACAATTTCATTATAAATATCTTTTCTTTGTAAATTGTGTACCTTCAAAGTTCATTTTGACTGGAATATTTTTTTTAATCATCAATCATTTAAAAAAAGTTTCCAATAAAGTTGGTAAAACATTCTAAATAGAGATTCATATATTAGACATTTATAAATAATTCATCTATAAATAGCTAAATTAGTGTCTAGATCACAAGTAAATAAACTCATACATAATGTAGATTTCTTTCTTATTTTAGAGACAATAAGTATATTGGGACATAAACGTGATAAACAAACGATATAACAAATGAAAAATTTAATATTTTGTTATGAAATTTACATATATAAATTATACAAGTCAACACTAAATGAAACTCTTCATTTAAAATTAAGGATACAAGAAGGATATGCATGAGAGATAAAGAAATGACAGAGATTAAAAACTGGTACAGACTGGAAAACAAAATGATAGCGGAACAAAATAAAACACATTATTTTTTAATTCAAAGTTAAATAACAGCAACAATAAATAATTTACATCAACAAATTTCTAAGAAAAAAACATAACTTCCCACATTAAAATTAAAAAAATATAAATAAAAGGGTAAATAATTATTTGTTTGTTATAGTGTTGAGAATTTCTTACATCAATCTTTTATGAATTATTTCCCTTTTATCATGCAGAGCTATTTCCTGCTGCAGATTCAATAGGCAAAAATGTGAAGATGTTTGTTTGGCTTGAACATGAAATGTCTTAAAAAATAAACCTAAATACTAAACTTGTCCATATTCTACTTACGTATATTTAAATTCACAAATATCGTGTCAAGGAGATAAAAAACAGAAAATTACAATAATATTTCCCTGACTAGTCCTAATACGAGCATCACTTAAACAAATGAATTCTTCAAACCAGATAATTATGTATGCAGCCTTTTAATTTTGAATGTTTTCTGACGAAAACTCTATATTTAGAACCCAGAAATGTCTTTATACAACTACTAAGTGTACTATACTAGGAATGTACATACACTGTATCTAAAATCAATATTGAAATTTTAATTATTGAAAATTATCTTATTCAGTGTAAATTTTTAAGGATTGTAGTATTAAACTCTTTTTTTCTCAAATTGTTCCCAAAGAAGAATAATTCTTTCATAGGTATCACTATTTGAAAAAATATAAATAATATTTTTGTTTTTTTTTATTTTAGCTCTTCTTATTCTACATGATTGCCTGGTTCGATACTTCATCATAATCAACGTAACATTATTATTGTTATTCTTAACAATCAATTATTAACAAACTGATAAAATCTGTTAGTGACAAATCCTTGCCGTCATGTCTTTCTGTAAAGATAAAGGATGTAAAAGGCCATCAGATGGATGTAAAAGGCCGTCAGAGGCACATCTTCTCGGTCATTTCTCGCTGAGAAGTAAACAACAATAAGTGATTTTAATTTGTGATCAATTTCAAGTGTTGATCCTCTACATGCCATGCCGTCAAGCAAGAATTGATGGTGTTACCATGTGGTCAGCAGATTTGGTAAGTCATGTGAAATAGTTCTAAGCTCCCAAATGCATTAGAAAAGCCATTACTATCCGTCTCTAATTTTATATCAGTTAAACCATAGAGTAATGAATATATATTGTAAGAAAAAGAGTAAGAGGTGCGCTGGTATTATTTGATTGTTTGTGAAGAATATGCCATGCAGTTGACCTGAATTTTGTCATTTCCATTTGTCAAACATGGGCAACCAACTTCAATTTTCAAATTTTGTAAAAATATTTTACAGAAAAAATTTTCCCACGGATTTGAAATACAGATCCTATGTCACGCTTCGCTTACAAATATCTGATAGCACTCTGTTCTACTTTCTGTTTTAAAGCCGTCCCATGGTCCTCTGTTTTTGTCTTTAATAATGATACACACCTTCAAAAATCTGAAGGCTGAAATTTCATTGGCTGAGGTAATAATTACCTGAACAGAAAGTAGATCAGAGTGTTGTCAGATCCTTGTAAGAAAAGCGTTAACACAGGATCTCTTTTTTAAATCAGATTGCAAGGCATTGTCTATTAAATTAAGTGGCCAGTCCCAATGTGGACAGGTGGAAAATGTCAAAAATCCATCTGAGACATAATTTACACTCAATCTACATACACCATTGAAACTTCACTATCGGACTAAATCTTGCTGAATTTGACATAAAAATACAATGTACTTTCCCCCATGAGTTTTTGTTACCTCTAATTGACAGACAGACCACAGGTAGAATACCTGTTAATCCTTCACAAATTACAGAAACTCTTTCATTTTTTTCTTGCAAACAATTTGTAGAAAGTACAATGTAGTTCTCTTGTCATTTTTAATCAGATAATGAAATTTTTCAATGGTGTATTTTATACTGTTTGTAGTCAGCTTAACACTAGTGTGCCATGTTTTTTTTTTAAATCCATACACCAGATAAGGGTTTTTAGATCTCCAATACCAATATATTTGTTGAAAGTTTAGGAAGCAAGGATTCTAAAATAGCAGAAGCAGTATTTTCTTTGTTACAGTTTTTGTGTCAAAAAAATTAATTAGGATTTCAATGAAAAGTATACATTGTAGAAAAGATTGAAAGAAATTTGTTTTATATACACATGTAGTATCATAATGTTTTTTTTACCAGCTAAATTCTGGTTCATTATTTATTAATGAAGTTTCAATGTCTTTTTTTCTCTACATCCATTAGATTAATTGGTTGAGAGATGTAGATTGTCAAGTATACAACACCAGCCATAGGAAATTAATTGAATTTTTTTCAATTAACATGAACCTCACGATTTAAGATTCATGAACCACTAATCCTGTTGTTGATAATGTTTGCTGTATGCCATATTTGTTTTTTGTTTATTGTTGTAGAATAAATCAGTTTGTTGTTTTTCTCTTTTGGATTGTTTCACATTATGTCACCACATGGACTTATAGCATACTTTTTTAATTTACTTTCATGGGTTTTGCTAATCGTTGAAGGCCATATGGTGACCTGTAATTGTCCTTTGGTGTTCATGATCTAAATTGATAGTTGTCGCATTGGTAATCATACATTGTATTACATCCTTATTATAATATAAAGCTTAAACATATTTGGTTTACTCCAAAGATCCAACATGCCAGGATTTTTCATTCAAGTCTAATAATATTTACAGTTGATTTTTCTTTATTTAATATTTGTTTAACCGATTTTTGTAAAATGATGACTACTTACTAATGGCTCCAGCTCCTTCTTGTCTACTAAGCTGTATTCCACCACAAAGTAATAGAAATGTTTATAGCACGTGTTTACATGAGCTTCCTACAAAACATTCCACATTGGATTAGCTAATACAGTAGATTCATGTTATATATAATATCATAAGTTCTTATTCTTTCAAGTGAATACCTTTTCCTACAGGTTTTTACTTTTTTTCTGTATTTACTTTTAAGGCAACATTTTGAATTCCTCTTTTAGGGTTTTTACCTGTTTCGAATGATTTTTGACAACGAGAGTGTTTAACTTTATTATTTTGCTTTAATATGTATTTCCTTCATTCCTTATCGTTCTTATTGACCTTTTTTATGGTAGGCATTATTTTTGGTATTTTTATTTCAGTAGTTGCATCTGATATTATGAATATTTGTGTTTTTTCTCTTTGAGTGTGTTCTTATATTGTGCTGTTACACCACTGTTGCAGGTTAGGGGAGTGTTAAGCGCTCATAAACATGTTTAACCCTGCCACATTCTTTATTTGCCTGTCCCAAGTCCAGAGCCTGTTGTTCAGGGGTATGTCGTTGATTCCTCTGTCATATTTTACATATAACATTATTATATTGTTTTATAATTTTACATAAATTGTTTTGTTATAAATTTCGCTGCTCGTTTTCTCAATTGAATTGTTTCATATTTTTCATGTCAAGGCCATTTACAGCCCACTATACAGTATAGGTTTTTCTCATTGTTGAAGGCCATATGGTTGCCTATGATTGCTTACATCCACTTTATTTGAACTTTGATGGATAGTTGTCTCATTGGCAATCATACCACATCTCCTTATTTTTATATTTAACTACCATGCTGCATGTACAGCGACTTAGGGTAATTTTTGCTTTTTTTATAAAAAGCACTTAATAAATTTTCATTATTATTTAAAATATGGTAGGGTAGGCAGACATTCTTTTATATATCATCTCCTTTTGACAGCATTTAATGCTTCAATTCAGGAAATATTTGGGGCAGCTTTATTGTTAACATATTCATATAAATTTTCTTTCCATTTAAGTTAAATAAAAGATATGGCTATTTTTGGTTTCTCACCAAAAATGTAGAGTTGTTTTTTAATATAGATTTTTGGTCACATGACAGAAGATATTGTACCTATACCAAGCCTTTATAAATATCATTTAACAAAACATCAGTATTTGTAATCCGTCTATGAAAAAAGTGACATTGACTAATATACAGTGAGGACCTTTGAAATCAAGAAGCTAAATAACTGGATAAAAGTTAAATAACTGATTAAATTCATCCGTGAATACAGTTTTGATTAATTCTGCCAAATTTTTGTACAGAATTATTGAACTGTTACAATAACTGATAATTCGTATGAAAGTTTATTGTGAAGAAATCCTAATAAAATTGTTATGAGTCCAATCTCAAAATAAGGGTCAGTTGGGAAACCCTACTAACAAATTCTTTTGTTTGCCTAAAAAAAAACAGTAGTTGTATGAGATGGTATGGAACTGTTGCATAATTAACTTGCACAGTTACTGTTTGAGATGACCTTTAAGATATCTGTTCTCCAAAAAGGAGAATCTTACAAGGGAAATAAGCATAATATACTTACAGCACCTAAGGCAACTAATGTATCAAAATGATGTATATACACATGTACAAAAACTCTGTATAGTCGGGTTAGTAATTTCTTCACCACTTGTAAGTAATTCTTTGGGAATGGTACTCCTATAAAAGAAAGTATGTAAAAACAAATTATTTTTTGTTATTTAGAAAATTTGGTGTTGATTGAAAATCTTTGATAGTCTTTTATTTATTCACAACATTTAAGACTCATGACTTGTTACAGGTGAAATATTTGCATAAATAATCTTTGACTCCATTCAATCAGTATATTTGTAGTAAACAAGGGACATTACTCAACAATTTTCATCAAATTGAAAATTTTGTGGTAAGGGACATAACTAAGCAACTTTCAGAGTTAATAAATATTCATCATTTAGTTTGAGGCTCCATTGGAACAGTATATTAGATGTAAACAAGGGACATAACTCAACAACTTTTATAAGGAATATATTTTCATCATGAGTTTGTGACGAAACCCAATCAATAGTTTATTAGTAAAAAAGGGACATAATTCACCAATTTTTACAAGGAATATATCTTTATCAATAATGCTTTACCTCATCCAATTGATAATTTTGCGGTACACAAGAGATATAACTCACCAACTTTTATAGGGAATAAATTTTCATCATTAGTTTGAGGCTCCATCGGAACAATATTTCTGTGGTAACTAAGGGGCATAGTTTAACAACTTTTAAAGGGAAAATTTTCTAATCATAAATCTTAAGACTTCACCCAATTGGTATATTTGAGGTAAACAATGGACATAAATCACCAACTTTCAATGTGAATAAATTTTCATAATTAGATTGAGGCACCATCAGAACAATATTTCTGTGGTAACTAAGGGACATAATTTAACAACTTTTACAGGGAAAATTTTCCGATCATTAATCTTACGACTCCACCCAATTAATATTTTTGTGGTAAACAAGGGACATATTTCACCAACTTTCACATTGAATATATTTTCATCATGAGCATGATGTGAGGCTCCTCCCAAACAATAGTATATTGGTAAATAAGTGTCGTAATTTACCAACTTCATCCAATTGATAATTTTGTGGTAAACAAGGGAAATAACTCACCAACTTTTACTGGGAATAAATTTTCATCATCAAATTGAGGATCAATTGGAACAGTATTTCTGTGGTAAACAATGGAACATAACTAACCAACTGTTAGGGGAATATATTTCTATCAATTATCAGTGAATCCATCCAATAGATAATTATGTGATAAACAAGGGAAATAACTCACCAACTTTTATAAGGAATTAATTTTCATCAATAGTTCGAGGCTCCATTGGAACAGTATATCTATGGTAAACAAGGGACATAACTCACCAACATTTACCCCAGGAATATATTTTCGTCATTAGTTTGAGGCTCCATTGGAACGTTATCTAATTGGTAAACAAGGGACATAACTCACCAACTTTTACTGGGAATATGTTTTCATCATTAATCTGGGATTCTACCCAATCCATCAACAATGATATATATTTGGGAGCTGGTAATGCTGTTGGTCTTTTGTATTTCACACTGTCTGTGTCACACCACTGATATTCATATCTAAAATGAAATGAATCATACAATTTATTTAAAATTTGAATTTTGTTTAAACACTTTAGTGTTAAAATAGATGCATGATCGGAGTTTAGTATGACGTCCATTTTCACTGACCTAGTACACATTTTTGTTAAGGGGCCAGCTGAAGCCCGTTTCTGGGAGTGGGATTTTCTTGCTGTGTTGAAGACCCATTGGTGGCCTTCGGCTGTTTTCTGCTCTATGGTCAGGTTGTTGTTTCTTTGACACATTCCCCATTTCCATTCTCAATTTTATGATGATGATGATGATGAATAGGTATTTAATGTCCATTGGAAAATAGTAGATGCATATCAGAACAAATATAATCATTTCAATGTGATATGAATACGAAATCTGAATAGTACTAGACCCATATCTAGTTCACAAGGTTAGTTTGCGGGGAGACTTATCAGCCTACAGGAACACATTTTTCTAACTCTGAATTCCAACCATCCAGTATTTGCTCTTACTTCTAATTGACACTTGCTATGCAGGAATGTATAATTACAGATTATCTACAAATATGATAATTCAAAAATCTGATTTTGGATAATTTATTTTTGAAGATTGATAGTACTCAAACAGCTGGCTAAATGGGCTAAAACACTATGTATTTTTGTCATCAAGGGAGATAACTTACCTAGGACCACCAGACATTGTGGTACATGTTTCTTCAGTGCAGTATTCACATATAGTACCATATAATAGATTGATTCTGTTGAAAAAATCTACAACTGTAAAATAAGAGGAGGCAATTATTATCCTAGAAAAAACACAATATATGCAGACTGTTACTATACATGTTTAAAAATACATGTAGGTTAGCAAATTATTACTGTTTTATGTCCCTAATCAACTATAGTTATAAATCTAAAATAGGCTTGGTAAAAAAAAAAAAACTTCTTATTGTTCCAGATTTACACATGACATATTTTCATTCAAATATCCCTTAATTGGAGTCACCTACATGTAGGTATGCATACAATACACTAACTGTGATTCGGTAAATCAAAACTTTTAGTGGAGAGTTTTTAAAATAAAATCAAAACCACACATGGTAATCTTGCTCTTTTGCTATGGCCTCTAACTGTTACCCTTCAGAGGCGGATTTAGAGGGTTTTTCAGGGGGCCCGGGCCCCCCTTTTGTGGAAAAAATTTGATAGATTATATAGGGAATCACTGAAACATGACTGCAGCGGGCCCCCTCTTAAGCAGTCAGTGGGCCCCCTCTTATAAAAATTTCTGGATCCACCACTGCCCAGGGTCTAGCCTTAACTGTACAAACGGGATTAAAGACCTGCCATGATGAGCATCTGAACTAACAATGTTGTACTAAATCTTCTATTCCTTTTTGCAGATCATTTAAAAAGAAACAAAGTTTGCTTAAAAAATCACTGGAAAAACAGATTTTACTACAGCATCTTATTTCTCTACGACTTGACACTAAAATATAGAGTTAAACAGTTTTGTTGAAGTCTCTTCTTAACCAATTATATGAGCAGCTGATCATGAGATGAAAAAAATTACATAAAAAATAAATCAAAATAAATATGTAAAACTAATAACTGATAGATACATGTAGAACAAAATTAATGCTTATTTGCTAAATCTAAAAACAAGATTACTTTTTTATAAAATTTACTATGCTACAACACAAACACAATATTCAATGGTATTTAGACATGTTCAAGGGATTTCTGGTCCTTAGTTCTACAATAAAAAGGGTCTGGATTGGAGGTCCTTTAATTCTGTATTCTGCAATTATGGTAATTTTTCTCTTTTCTCTTAATTTTTTAAGTGATTTTCCTCTATTCTTTATAATTTTTAGAATAGAGAATGGAAATGGGGAATATGTCAGAGACAACAACCCAACCAAACAGCAGAAAAGTAGTCCAAGACCTATTTTTCTAATTTTCTCTTTTCTGTAGTATTGGTCCATTATTCTCTATTCTGTAAACCACATCCAGACCCTCATAAAAAACAGTACAATATAATGTGAATGTTAACTACTATAGTATCATTGCTCTAATTCTGTAATTATAGGTGATGTGTATACATTTAAACAAGTTCTGACCAGTTTGACAGATTTTGATAAATTTGCAGTATTTCAAAAGGTTCACAATTGCAAGGGGATCATACAACTTGTGCTCAAAAAAAATATATTCTTATGGGTGATTAAACTAGGTTCAGTGATTTCTATGGTTCCGTTTTTCTTGCCACAAAATCAATTACCCCATTTGCCTCTTTAATCTAAAATATCAATACATTGAAAAAAAATAAAAACGAAGGTCAAAACACTTGTTAAAATCTTATTGTTAAAAAAGAGCCTAATTCTAGTTGAAATTATTTTTGTTAAACTCTGGCAGATATCAAATACACTAACTAAATTTTGCTTTAACAATGTAACAGTTGGTTATATTACCAAGGTTACAATGTATTGTAGATAGCAGTTTCATCTTAACTCAATAGGGTAGAATAAGCCTAAACGTATTACCAAAAAATTTGGTTAATCAAGGGATCGAAAGATAAACATCAACATGATCACTTCAACAGAAATAGTTCCTTCACCATTTTCACTGATATCTAGAAAACAACTTTCCCCAATAACTTAGAATTCACTTCCCCATAGTTTTAATATGCAGGTACATTCTCTGAATTGAGGAAAAAAAAAATAAACAACATAAAAAACATCTCATGCTACAATATAAATGGATGTAAATAAATTCAATGTTTCATATGTTTTTCATTGGCATGTATACCCCAATACATTCATGTGTGCAATCTACAAGCCTTGTGCTATTCCATGTATTCTTAACCTTACTGTATTTTTGGTTAACATAGAAAATTGATTCTGAAAAAAAAATGTGGAAAAAAAATATGTGCATTCAAGGTCATGAACAATAAACGTGATAAAATTTACATGCCAGTTTCTGATGTCTACGCATGCAAGTTAACTACATGTATTTAGCAGTTTGTCCGACACCAATTAAAAGTATACATCAAAAGCTCATTAAAAGTTTACTGAAGCGTATATGCAGAGGTCAGACTCGAACCATTCCGATCGCATATTTGTATTTTCAATCCAAGATACACAATGATCAGTCTGATGTATTGTGGCCATTCCAATTAAATACAAGCACTACTTTTATGCGGAATGTAGTTTTTTTTGTACCCACCATGAACAGCCAACCAGTCATTTAAATCCTCATTTGATGGTAGCTTAACAACTTCCCTCAAATCAATACCAGAATTAAGCGAAGCATTTGCCTGCTTGTGTAAATTATACTTTAAGCTACCAGGATCAAACCGCTTCTTGGGCTTAAAAGTCTGCAAAGAAATGAATCATACAAGTTTGTATATATAAGTATATATAATGATATATGTTTTAAGCTTAAGATTTTTGCATCCGTATTGAAATACACATGCAAGCTGTCCAACTTGACTGCCATAGATGAAATTTTTGAATTCTGAAACAGAAGTGGTTTATACATGTAACATTATAGTACCAACCATGCACGGCAATCCAATCATTTAAATCTTCTTGCGGTGGTAACCTGACAACCTCCTTCAGATCTATACCGGAACTCAGTGAGGCATTGGCCTGTTTATGGAGGTTGAATTTGAGAGTACCCTGTTCAAACTTCTTCTTTGGTTTAAATGTCTAAAACATACATGCACATTAAAATAAATATAAATTGCATTATTTAAATAAACATATATCATGTATATATACAAAATGTATATAAAGAAAAGTTTAGTGGAATCTGTATGCTTTATATATATATATATATATATAATTGTACATATGAAAGAAAATTAATTAAAGATAATAATGGTTTCAATTCATCACATTATCTGACCTTTGACTGATCTTAAGGTACAACATGTACAATGTGACTTGTAAACAAACATGTCTTTTAAAATTGTATGTTTTAGTCCTAAACTTAGTGATGGTTTCATAATCAATCAGAGATACAAATGTACATGTATATATTCTACTTAAACTTTTTTTAGTTGTAAGTGATTTCAGGATCTCATGGATCTCTTATTGAACTTTTGATGGCTTTCAAAAATAGAAAAATGTAAACATAATTTGACACCCAAACTTTAAAATCACTTGTAATTATATACTTAAAACTTTTAAACACTAACAGTTGTAAGTAAGTGATTATAACATCAAGGATTATCATAGGAAAAGTTTAGATGAATATCTTCCTGTCTTCTTTAGGTTTTACATTAACTTCTCTCAATGCAATACTATAAAATTTTATTTTAAAATGACTGCTCCATATATAAGGCCTTTTTAAAATTAAGCTACTGTAAATCTTTAATCTATTTTAGTTTGTCAAAAAAATAAGACGATACATGTATAAAGTCATGTTATTGGTGATACATGTACATGTTTTAGATACATATTATACACTGTACATTAATCTAGATCTTTATTAGCACATGTTATATAATATACAGGAAAGACTTCACCATATTAAATCTTAAATAAACAATTTACATTGTCAAGAATTCCAAGGCCATCTGTATTATCAGTTTATGGAAAGAATAAGATACTATTGACAAGTATTTTGTGACAACAGGGTATGTCTTTTCCATGTCATGTGCTAGATTAAAGACTTGGGACTAAACCTGATAAAATATAATTGCATTGTACATGTTGCACAATGTAATATCCTTATTGGCATTTTGCCATACAACCAGTGAGTTGATTTTGATTCAGGAAAGATATAATGATTATTTTCATGTTCCAATAATGATAATAAAACATACATATCAAAATATGTCAAGTTCATAGTACATGTGCATGTATACATTGAATCTTGGTTATTATGTAACAAGCATCCACTCAATTGTTCTTCAATTTTCCTCACATATATCAGTGTATATACATTTCTTTACTTACATTATACATGTACATGTATATTTGATAAAATGTAATTAAATGATTATAATGACAGGGCTCACGCTACCATGTGACAAAGTCGCTTTCCCATCCGTCACTTCGCTTTGCCCAACCGTCAAAAGCGAAATCTAGTCGCCCTGTTGATCACGATACTCGCTTTCACATGTTCAGAACTTTGCTTTCGTCATCGGCAATATTCAATTTTTACCAAGTCGATGAAACAGCAATTTTTCATTTAAAAGTAAAGAAATTCAAGGACATAAGCAATTAATTTTCTTCAGAAAAGAGGTTAAAGCATTGATTTTAAAGTTGGTTGCATGTTATTTCATAAAGAAAATTTTTTATCACTTCTGGTACTTGTTACTCGAGAGTGTACATCAAATCATTCTACCTTTCGGCAAAATAAGTTTGGTTTCTTCATTAGAATGTGATGAAATTTTACTGAAGTAAATTTGTTATCCATGTATTGCATTAAAAATTAAACGTCATATTCCTTTTCCAAATAGCGTGTCAAACATCGTTTATTTTTGTAAATTTATTTCGTCCGCCATTGAAATATTGTATGAACTACTGATGGAAGTTGGAACCAGACCAGCTACGACCGAATTCCGGATTCTCACGATAATGACTTCGGACGCATGAATGGCACAGCTGACAGAAGAATATTGATCCCAAAAGGAAAAATTACGCATTCCACACGCATTAATATACTTTTGGTTTGATCTACTTGATAAATGTATATATTTCAATGTATATGCATTGTTTCAATTTATCAATTAAAATTGCTCAACTCTGGGACTATTATACTATGTCCATTAGCTTAACTTATACATCTTTTTAATGAGAAACACTGAATTTCATTAACATGATAACAGAGTACATTTTTAATTGAATTTTAATTGAAATAACAACTTTCTTTTCATTTTTGATATAAAAAAAAATCTTTTTTATTATCATGATTATTGCTAGATATTTAATTGTTTTTTTCCGACAAGAGGACTAATATGATTGTGCAACTAGATATGATAAAATTAAACAACTTTGAATTTGAACTGTTACTTTTATTTTAAACCCAGGGACAAATTGAACGATATAAAAAAACTAGAGGCTCTAAAGAGCCTGTGTCGCTCACCTTGGTCTATGTGCATATTAAACAAAGGACACAGATGGATTCATGACAAAATTGTGTTTTGGTGATGGTGATGTGTTTGTAGATCTTACTTTACTGAATATTCTTGCTCCTTACTATTATTTCTATCTATAATGAACTTGGCCCGGTAGTTACAGTGGAAAATACTTTTAAAAATTTACAAAAATTTACAAAATTTATGAAAATTGTAAAAAATTGACTATAAAGGGCAATAACTCCTTAAGGGGTCAATTGACAATTTTGGTCATGTTGCCTTATTTGTAGATCTTACTTTGCTGAACATTATTGCTGTTTACAGTTTATCTCTATCTATAATAATATTCAAGATAATAACCAAAAACGGCAAAATTTCCTTAAAATTACCAATTCAGGGGCAGCAACCCAACAACGGGTTGCCTGATTGGTCTGAAAATTTCAGGGCAGATAGATCTTGACCTAATGAACAATTTTGTACTCATCAGATTTGCTCTAAATGCTTTGGTTTCAGAGATATGAGCCAAAAACTGCATTTTACCCTATGTACTATTTTTTAGCCATGTCGGCCATCTTGGTTCGTGGGCAGGGTCATTGGACACATTTTTTAAACTAGATACCCTAATGATGATTGTGGACAAGTTTGGTTAAATTTGTCTTAGTAGTTTCAGAGGAGAAGATTTTTGTAAAAGATTACAAAAATTTACGAAAAATGGTTAAAAATTGACTGTAAAGGGCAATAACTCCTTAAGGGGTCAACTGACCATTTTGGTCAAGTTGACTTATTTGTAGATCTTACTTTGCTGAACATTATTGCTGTTTACAGTTTACCTCTATCTATAATAATATTCAAGATAATAACCAAAAACTGCAAAATTTCCTTAAAATTACCAATTCAGGGGCAGCAACCCAACAACGGGTTGTCCGATTCATCTGAAAAATTCAGGGCAGATAGATCTTGACCTGATAAACAATTTTACCCCATGTCAGATTTGCTCTTCATGCTTTGGTTTCAGAGATATAAGCCAAAATCTACATTTTACCCCTATGTTCTATTTTTAGCCATGGCGGCCATCTTGGCTGGTTGGCCGGGTCACCGGACACATTTTTTAAACTAGATACCCCAATAATGATTGTGGCCAAGTTTGGTCAAATTTGGCCCTGTAGTTTCAGAGGAGAAGATTTTTGTAAAAGTTTACGGACGACGGACGCAAAGTGATGAGAAAAGCTCACTTGACCTTTCAGGTCAGGTGAGCTAAAAATACATATAGCCCTTTGTATTATAGTAAAAACCAAACATTGTAGCGCCATGAGCGAATGAGCACTACTCTTTCAAATCTCACCACTTCTCCCTCTCGGTTTCAAAAAGAGAAGTCACTTCTCCCTATGATTCTGAAGTAGTGTGAGCCCTGAATGAATTTGATAACCTAACTTTATAAATAAAATCTTAGGCATTTCATGCATTTGGGTGTACATTGTAAACAAATGTGTGTATGCTTATTATTATTATTATTATTATTACAGTGTATATATAGTCCCAAGTCAGGAGCCTGTAATTCAGTGGTTGTTGTTTGTTGCTGTATATCATATTTGTTTTTAGTTCATTATTTTGTCATGTTTGTACACATGATAAATCAGGCTGTTAGTCTTTTTGTTTGAAATGTTTTACATTTGTTGTTTCAGGGCATTTATCAGTCAGGGGTACTACTTAAACAAGTGATTTCATTATCACCTATTTCAGTGATTTTTTAAATTCAGTTATCACCTATTTAAGTGATTTTGGTGTTTCCTTTGATCTTCAAATGCTAATTTCAGTGATTTTCCATATTTTCACAAACTTTTCTATAATTTTCCTATATAGATCAATTATCCCTTTATCTTTGGATATCAATTTCACTAGTGCGCTTGGCCAGTAAGTTTGTGCGCTAAAGCTTTTAAAAGTACCCTTGGGAATTGTTCTGTAATCAAATATTCATTAACTACTCTTACTTTCAGACAAAGGTCAACAATATTAGATAACCTGATTGGTTTTCTTTATAGTTAGAATGATTTATTTCAAGGTTATGTCCTGATCTACAAATTATTCCAGTTTTTGCATATTTAAATAAACTGTAAAAACTGACAGGCTTATCAAGCAAAAGACAATTTCTGCATGTACATAGTTGTCTTTTCAATGGAATTCTTGTCTTTTTACCAATAAAAAAATCAAGCTTGTGGGGAAAATATCAAAAAAATGTTATAAACACTTATTGAAGTGATTACATTTTAACTTCTCAAATTACTTGTTTCAGTGATTTTAAAAAGTCTGTGCGAAAATTTTTAATATTTCACAGCCAAAATCACTCAAAGAAGTGATTCTGAAATCACTTGTTTAAGTAGTACCCCTGACTGTTTATAGCTGACTATGCAGTATGGGTTTTACTCATTGTTGAAGGCCATGTGGTGACCTATTGTTGTTACTTTCTGTGTCATTTTGTCTCTTGTGAAGAGTTGCCTCATTGGCAATCATACCACATCTTCTTATTTTTATATTTATTAACATGATTATGTCATAATGAAAAATAATTATTTAATTATTCATAAATTAACTGTATAAATTAAATTTCTTTTCTGCCCATGTAAATACTGAAAGACCATTTATATACATTGTACCTACTCGCCACAGGCACTTGTCTCTGAAAAAAATCCTATACCTTACTGTAACACAAGGTACTTTACTCGCATTTTTGAAAAATTCACCCGGTCGCGGAATTACTCATATAACATACTTAAACTCTGACATTAGAAATACACACACCTACAGTGAAGACAAAGCAAGAAACCAGTCAGTCATACTTATTCCTACATTGTCATGATTGTCCAATAATATAGAAATCAAAGGGGGACTATTTTTCTGAGAATCATAAACTTGTGTAGTGCAGAAAATGGTTAAGTTTGGTTAAACATGTTAAAAGCAGAGATGAATAATGTGTAAATTATCAACAGTCATGCTTCAAATTGGTGTACTCTTCCACCAATAATCAGTCTGGGACATTAGCATAATAAGCCACTTGTTCAATCCAACTGACTTATAAATTTTTACGGGGACTTATTATTCTGACATTTTTTTTCTTACTTGAAAGACTACAATCATGACAATGGTAAATGTTCCTTAAAGAAATCTGAAAGGTTTGGGTTTTTTTTCAATGATCTTAAATAAGCACAAAATAAGATTTAAACCAAGCCTATGAACTACATGCACAATGTACAACATGTACAAACTAAACTTCTAAGTCGATAACCCATTGCCAGTGATCACTAAAATGTGGAGAAACAATTAACTTTCCCATTGCGAGAGATTCTGGTTAATTTTTACTAAAAGATACATTGTAATACCTTTCAAAATCCTTTATCAACAAAAAATAACAAACTACATGAACTAACTGAATGTCTAGAAAAAACAAACCAGAATAAATTGAACTAAATTTTTCCATTTTCAATTGCATTTGAAAATGTGTTGAATCATGTGAATAGAAAAAAAGAAAAATAACAAAAATACCAAACTCCAAGGAAATTCAAAATGGAAAATCCTTTATGCAAAAAATGGAAGTTCTAAATAAAATTAAATTATTTCCCTCTATTTAGCATGTTTTTACTTCAATTAATAGTAAAAACCACCTTGATAATTTGAATCCACCAGTATTGACCACTTGAGTATTGTTTATGTAAAGGGGGGGGGGTACACTGGTAACCTTGTCATTGTATGTTCATACTGATCAATAATGAGCATCTACCTTGACCTTCTAATCTCCTTCCAAACAATGATTTATATTCTCTGCACATGGCAACAGAGTACAATAAATGGCTTGTGAATACATAAAGCAAAAGTTCATTCATTAAATACATGTACTAAGGAAAATGAAAGTAAAACTAATCCATTATTTTGAACTGAAAAGCAATGAAAAGTATCTGAATGACAAAGTAAACAACATCCAATATTCTATGCAAAGATATAGATTTGAAAACATTGTCCAAACTGTAAATATCTGATATATGTTTAAAGGGTGTTAACTAGATTAGTATACAATTTGGAGAACAGGAAATTTCATACTTCCTTGTTTAAGGAGGTACTTTAAATTATGTCAATAAACTTTAACAGTAATCTATTCTGAAAGTCATAACAGTATACACAATAAAGAAAGAAACGATTGTGAATCAAACTTAAAATGTTTAAAAGCCATTAAATTGTCGCTCCATGGATGTAATTTCTATTTAAGTCAATAAAATTATCAATGACAACAGAACCAGTTTGTAAGACATGTAAAGAAGAGGATTTATAAACCTTCATTGAAGTTGGATCTAACTTTTTTGATACAGATACGTTTTTCAAATCATGTGTTGGTATGAAAATACGCTTTAATGTTACTTCATTGTTCAGATTACCTTTACTTTGTCTCTAGAAAAGAACTGTGCGAATCCATATCTTCCAGCCATGTTTTCATTTAGCTACGCATGCGGAACCGGAAGCTGAAGTGATGCTGAGGGTAAACTTCTTTGTATCAAAAAGTACGCTGAAAAATTCAAAATATAGTATTTGAAAGATTGGGAATTTACTGAAATGTAAAAAAGTGCACCTTTAATGAAAATAGAAAAAAATCAAATCCAAAAATAGTATTATATAAAGAATGAAAACAGCATTGCTCTTTTTCATTTGTAGCACAGTTTAGACCATTGTTTATTTTACTTTTTTATCAAATGTTTTCGGTCATTAGATTTTCCATCTAGAGTCTGTTCGGAAAAAATAATTTCGGACGTTATCTATAAAAAGTGTGAAATGGCGGGTGCTGCAAACGTGGGAGATAAGCTTTACAATTTAATATTGGAACTGCACAGAAAAAAAGCTGTAAAGTTTGGAAATTTTACTCTGAAAAGTGGAATCCAGTCACCTGTGTATTTTGATCTACGCGTCATTGTGTCATACCCAAAATTAATGGTATTGATCTGGCATTGACACACATTCAAGGACTTGTGTTAGAGAGAAATAACTTATTTACCTGTTTATACACAATGTCATGTTCAGTATGTCTGCATTTTGAACTAATTTAGATCGATCTGGTTATTAAAGCTGAATCTGGTCACCCAATGTCATATCCCTTTAATATTACTAAACGAACTTTCAGTTTCTAACTCCTAGACGACTTTCAAATCCATGCACTTTCCCATACATTTCCTATGTTGCAATGCTTGTGTTATTAAGTCACAGAATGAATGTCATTTACGCCTATTGACCTTGGGTCAACCGGTGTAATTTGTACCTAAAAACAACTTCGAGATTTAAAACATTGCAAGCTACACAACCTGCCATGTGGATTTTGCTTTTTCCACTTGCCCACCGTGGGCAGAAGTATGTTGTCCATGTATTTGCCCACGCCCAATGTCCATCGTGGGCTTGTTGCCCACTCCATCGCATGGACATTAGTCCACGCAGTCCTGTTGACGTCTGTGGGAACAATATCGGACGCTTAATTATTAATGGCTATTAATTTTATGATTTTATATCTATGATAAAAGTTAACGCTACAATTACATTGAAGGCAAAATCATTCATACACCAATAAGTATAGTTGGAGGAAGGGCATGTTATGATAAACAGTCAAGGATATAACTCTTATAGGGTTATTAAAGAAAATATCTTGCATGTGTTATTACAGATACTTTCATGAGTTGTCTACTCTTTACTTTTTAAATTTTCTAAATCTGTAGTAACATATGTTTGTTATTTGTGAAATACATAGCCTTGATAACTAATTTTCATATTAAATTAATACATTTTTCATCAACCATGGTAAATCAATAAGATAATACTTTTAAGGGATTAACTTAGCTGTAATAACAAGGCTTTGTTATTAAAGGCATGTAACTTATTATATGAGACACTTGGGAATTACTGGGAATCTTGCGCAGCACATCATTACATGCTCTGTTCATTATTTCTTACAATAAATTAAAATACATTGTGATTAAGCATGATGTATGTCTGAGCAAAGGCTTTGAAGTGGTGTAAAGAAGCTGTAATAACACCCTTTAGTTATTACAGGCATATTTTTTCTGTAATAACATAGGTGTACTATGCATGATTGGCAAACTATGAACTGTTATATTTTTCTATAGTTTAGTATACATAAAGACAATAATAATATCAATAGAACTTGTATACATTTTAACAAAACAAATAATGTAAAATGATGTATATATTGGCCCTTTGAAATATGTAATATACATATGTTATCACAGTTCTTTGATTTTTTAGTCCACAATAACAGATGTATGTTATTTTTCTCTGATAACCCTATAGACAGTCAGGGGTACTACTTGTACAAGTAAATTTTATTTACTTGAAAAAGTAATTATAATATACTTATATAAGTAAATTTTTAGGATACTTATACAAGTGTGTTTTATTTACTTGTATAAGTAAATTAATTTTTGGCCTAGTTATACCTAAGTGTTTCCAAACGCAGGAGATCAGCTTGCTCCTCTATATTTGGCTCTATTTCACTGTCACTATCACTGTTGATTACTGTGCTACCTCCAATCGTGAAGTTGTAATCTACTGTGTAGTCATAAATCATAGGATGTTCTTTCCAATATTTATCTAGTCTTCGTTCGAATGTTTTAACGTTTTTGGCAGTTACAATTGTCTCAGGAAAACTGTTCCAGACTTCCACTACTCTGTTGGTAAAATAGTACTTTCTAACATCCAGCCTACTCCTGTTCTTTACTAACATTCAGATTTTTTTACTTATACAAGTAAAAAAGTCATCCTATCTTCTTTTCTTGAATTCTTAGAAACTTCTTTGCTCTAACAGAATTTTGAATTGTCTGTCCTTTCTTTGCAGATGTCTTTACTATTCATTTAAGTGTAATTTCATGGACAATGAAATTCTCATTTGTCTGTTATCTTTAGAACACTGCTCATTTACAAGCCCCCACGGAGCAATTTTTGAAGGCCTTGCGCAAATACTTAAGATCTTTGCTCAATCAGTTTCTTTGTTGAATTAATGAGATGAAACATTGAACTCTTATCAAAAATTATGAGCTAACCTGAGAAAAATTGTTAAAGACATGATTTTACATCTCAAAGCTTGAGAATTTTTGTGGGATTGTAAAAAAAAATTACTTATACAAGTAATTTTTTTAGAAAATAAAGGGGAGATTATTCAAACAATATAAATAACTTGTATAAGTATATTGTATTTACTTCTTCAAGTAAATAAAGATTACTTGTTCAAGTGGTACCCCTGACTGATAGACATGATGGAGTTATATCCTTGACTGATAAACATGATAAACATAACTTAATTTAATTTTATACTAAAAATAGGATTCTTTATTATAATTTTATTATAACAATAGGAAGTTGAGATACCCATGCCAAAACATAGCTCGTTTGTTTATTCATTGGTCAAACATCGTAAAAGGTTTTATTTCTGTGTCATTTGGTCTCTTGTGAAGAGTTGTCTCATTGCCAATTATACCACATCATTTTGTCGAGCCTGCCACTTTTGTCGCAAAAGCGAGACATAGCTATCCTACATTCCGTCAGCGTTGTCGGCGGCGTCCACAAGTATTCACTCTGTGGTTAAAGTTTTTGAAATTTTAATAACTTTCTTAAACTATCCTGCATTTCAACCAAACTTGGACAGAAGCTTGTTTATCATGTTTATGATCATAAGATAGTATCCAGAAGTAAATTTTGTAAAAAAAAAATCCTGTTTTTCCGTATTTTACTCATAAATGGACTTAGTTTTTCTGTCAGTTAACCATGTTAACATTACATTCACTCTGTGGTTAAACTTTTTCTTAAACTATCCTAGATTTGTAGGATTTGGACAGAAGCTTGTTTATACATGTTATCATACGATAGTATTCAGAAGAAAATTTTGTAAAAAAAAAATCCTGTTTATCCGTATTTTACTCATATACCATGTATACATGATATATGGACTTAGTTTTTCTGCCAATTAACATAACATTCACTCTGTGGTTTAAGTTTTTCAAATTTTGATAACTTTCTTAAACTATCCTGGATTTGTACCACACTTGGACAGAAGCTTGTTTATGATCAAAAGCTAGTATCTAGAAGGAAATTTTGTAAAAATTTATTTCCTGTTTTTCCGTATATTACTTATTAATGGACTTAGTTTTATTCTAGTGAACATTATGTACAGTCTGCAGTTAAAGTTTTTAAAACATTAATTAGATTCATAAACCTTCTTGGATTTTTACCAAACTTGAACAGAACTTCTTACAATCAAAAGATAGTATCTAGAGGAAAATTTTTAATAATTTTTTCCCCATTTTTGTTGAGCCTGCGAATAACAGCAAAAGTAGGCGAGACACTGGGTTCCGCGGAAACCTTACAAATTTTTTATATTTAAAGCTTCTTACTGACCCCTATTACACATGTAATGGAAATAGATCGATTCACTTCCGCCCACTTGTATTCTAGTGGACAAATGCCCACTGCAACGTGTGGGCACACATGGACAGGGAGTGCCCACTCAATGGCCACGCTCACGGTGGATCCATGGAAATAGCAAAATCCATGTGAGCTGTAGTGTACATGTAGACAAGCAGTTCAACATTCTTTTGCAATAAATTTTCAATTTCATATCTGTTTACTATTACGATTTTAACTCTTTGTCCTAAGGTATAATCTATATTATGTCATGTATGTATATATTATGTATGTAAAGCATGTATAGTGATTGTGGCAATGGCCTAAAAATATCGTGACCATGATTTTTTTTTTGAATTATACACACAAAATTTGTCATTTTCAGAGTTTGCACTTTTCACCACGGATACAATCAAAATCAGATCTATATGTGATCACTGACTAATCATGCTAATTGATGACAGCTATGTAAACCATACAGTATCCAAATGTGTATGGACTTTTGAATTTTTTTGTTCATCTCGTGTGCCATGTGTGCTGCAGCTTTAAAAATTGTGATCGAAGTGGATACATTATCACTTGCCAAATGGTTATTGAGATGTCATGAGAAATACGGTGGATTCATTTATTTTCGTGGGTACCAATTTTCGTGGATTGAGGAAAACTTACACTTTCATGGATATTAAATTCGTGATTTTGCCAAAGTTGGCATACAAGCCAATGGAAAATTTGTAATTGGTTGAACATTTAAATTCATGGTTCACCTGTACCAACGAAAATTGGTTATGTTGGTATCCAACGAAAATTAATGAATCCACAGTAAAGTTGTGTTGCTTAGGGAGCTACCATTTGATTTTTATGGGGGGGGGGGGGGGGGGGCTAGGATGAAATTTGAAAAAAAAGGCAGGACAGGAGTTTTGAGTAAAAAAAATAGGCAGGATGAGCAACTTGAAAAAAAAAAAAGTCAGGATGACAATTTATGTAAAAAAAGTCAGGATAAACTAATGAAAAAAAGGCAGGACCGAATAGAGTGAAAAATAAAAAGGCAGGACAGAGATTACAACTAAAAAAAATG